GTACCCCAGAACCTAAAGTACAACTTAAAAAAAAAAAAAGCACTTTTTAATGAGTAACCTGCTTTACTCTCTTGGGAACTTTTTAAAAAATGCAAGTCATTAAGAATCATTTAAGGAAAAATGAAATACTAAGCATTTGTCTTTGCTATTTTTACAGATCAATAAGAAAATAGCAGTGACCAACACAGAGCTTTTTCTGAAGAAAGAGCAGATGAAACCTTTTCTCAGAGCTCTTCCTACTACGCCAGACCCAGAGTCACCTTGAGTTGAAAATCTTAATAGTATAAGACTCCACAGAAAACATATTCCCCAAACACCCATAAGAATTCCTACTTCAAACCCGCAGACTTCAAATAACTGCAACAACTATTTGACTGAGGTTAGTTATATTACCATTTCTCTTGAGTTTCATTTCTCTAATATAATTCTTGTTTTAAATTTGGTGAAATACTGAGTTGTTCTGTTGACTTATGCATGTTAAGTAAAGCTCAAAATCAGCTGTGTTAACACAAAAAGAAAATTAGAAACTTTACATTATTTTAATTCTTTGGAGCTCTCATTTTCAAGAGATACCCATTTGCTAACTTTATTTAATAAACGTGACTAAACCGACACATTTTAAATTTCTTTAAAAGCTGCATTTAACTTAGGTTTCAGAAATTGCATATTATTGCCTAACAACTGAAGGTATACTTTGAGATGTTCCTGGCTTACTCTCTAATTGATTTTAGTCTGACTGTGGTCCAAACCCGCCCCCCGCTTTTTTTTTAAGATACAGTCTCTGTTGCCCAGGCTGGAGTGCAGTGGCATGATCTCAGCTCATTGCAACCTTTGTCTCCTGGGTTCAAGCAATCTGGCCTCAGCCTCCTGTGTAGCTGGGACTACAAGTGGCCACCACCATGGCTCGCTAATTTTTGTATTGTTAGTAGAGAAGGGGATTCACCATGTTTGTCAGGCTAATCTTGAACCCCTGACCTTGAGATCTGCTCCCCTTGGCCTCCCAAAGTGCTGGGATTACAGGAGTGAGCCACTGCGAGTGGCCCATACCACTTTTTAAGTTTCTTTGCACCATCTCAACTCTTCCCACCCATAATCACAGGTGAATGATTGGCATCCAAACACTTAACCACATATAAATGTTTATTATTTAATAGAATCCAAAATAAGTGCATTTTATGAATTAAATAAACAAAACACTAAAAGGTTTATTTCCATTTTTATGTTCAAAGCTTTGTGCTTGGCCAGGCGGAGTGGCTAAAGCCTGTAATCTCAGCATTTTGTGAGGCCAAGGCAGGTGGATCACCTGAAGTCAGGAGTTTGAGACCAGCCTGGCCAACATGATGAAACCACATCTCTGCTAAAAATACAAAAATTAGCTGGGCATGGTGGCTGGCACATGTAATTCTAACTACTCAGGAAGCTGAGACAGGAGAATCACTTGAACCCAGAAGGCAGAGGTTGCAGTGAGCCAAGATCATGCCACTGCACTACAGCCTGGGTGACAGAGAAAGACTCCATCTCAAAAAAAAAAAAAAAAAAAAAAAAAAAAAAAAAAAAAAAAAAAAAAAAAAAAAAAAAAAAAAGCTTTGTGCTTTGCTTACATAAGAGTACATCCTCTGACTTTAAAAATCCTGGAAGAAAACTAGGAAATACTCTTCTAGACATCCCACTTGTTAATTAATGTATGGCTAAGTCTTCAAAAGCAATTGCAAGAATCACAAAAAATTGACAAGTGTGACCTAATTAAGCTAAAGAGCTCCTGCACACATGAGGAACTATCAAGGGAATGTACAGACAGCCTACAGAATGGAAGAAAATATTCAAAAGCTATGCATACACCAAAGGCCTATTATCTAGAATCCAAAAGGGACTTAAGTCAACAAGCAAAAAATAAATAACCCCATTAAAAATGGGCAAATGAAATGAACAGACACTTTTCAAAAGAACACATATAAGTGGCCAAGAAACAACATATTAACAAATGCTTACCGTTGCTAATCATCAGAGAAATGCCAAACAAAACATCAGTGAAATACCATCTCACACAAGGCAGAAAGACTTTGTTAAAAAGTCAAAAATAAAAAATAAAACAACAACAGTAATAATAATAAAACAGATGTTGGGGAGGCTGTGGAGAAAAGGGAACAATTACACACTGTTGGTGGTAATGAAAATTAGTTCAGCTACTATGGTGGGCAGTTTGGAAATTAAGAACTAAGAAGAACCGTTGGATGCAGTAACCCCATTACTATACTAGATGTATACCTAAAGGAAAATAAATCATTGTAACAAAAGGAAGCATGCACGTGTGAGTTCATTGCAGCACTATTCACAATAGCAAAGACATGGAGTAAACCCAGGTGCATCCAACATAGATGATTGAAAATCCAAGGTAAATTGGAAAATTCCATATATTCTATGGAATACAATGCAACCATAAAAAGAAGAAAATCATGTCCTTTGCAGCAACATGGATACAGCTGGAATCCACTATCCTAAGCAAACTAATGCAGAAACACAAACCAAATATCTCATGTTTTCACTCATATGTGGGAGCTACACATTGGGTTCACAGCGTCATAATATGGGAACAATAGACACTGGAAAATGAGAATGGGGAGGGACAGAGTGGGCCAGGATTAAAAAATACTTATTGGGTCCTACCCTTGCTACGTTCATGATGGGTTCATTTGTACTTCAAACTTCAGCATCCCTCAGTATACCTTTGGAAGAAACCTACACAGGT